GGGGGCCTTATTCTGCGAATTCTGAGATGTCCTAGATATCAAAAAAACATCCCAAACGACCCCCGTCTCCCCCCCAACCGCTCCAGCGTGGAACCCCGCCTTGTTGTCCCACCAGGGCTTAAAGGCCTCACTGGGTGTTCGGTTCATGGCGTAGTCACTGAGCTCAGCTGTCAGGCGCATCTTGTTGATGTCCCGATTGCCCATGAGCAAGAAGACCCGGTCTGGATACCTCAGAGAACTGAAAGCCTTCAGAGACTCCAGAGATCCGGATGCGAAAGCAATGTGGTGCTTTCACTCTGAGAAGCAGGGCTGCTTCATGTTTCAAAGTATCCAACAAGTTCAAACCAAGGCCAATCTGTTACCACATGACACAACATGTTCTCTGATGTCTTTCACCACGGCAAACCTGTGCAGCGACACCAGAATCTGGCTCGCACCCCGCGCACAGGTGGCCAACTCTGAGGTTTGACAACAAAAGTGATAGCTTCTTGTTTCTAATAGCAAACATTGTTACTACTAGTAAGGCACCTGTTACTACTAGCGTGGCACTTGTTACTAGTAGCGTCCTTGTAGTATTCATACAATCAATGCAGCCCAACATGTGCGGTTTCCTGGCAACTGTTCCATTCTAAGTCCTAAGTCCCCAAATGGCTCAGGGTGAAGACGCAATAGAAACACCCTAACCCAAGGTCGATCGGTTGACACGCGTCGTTGTGACTGACACTGGGATTTTCCAGACGTCCGATTTCAGCTCCCACAGTCCCTTTCAGCTCCCAGAAGCCGCTGTTTCAAGCCCACCAGCTCTTTGGCCAGCTGCAAATCACCGGGTCCCCGATCAAACAGATCTCCTGGCGAACCGCCACCGACCGCCGCCGACCGCACAGAGTCTTGATTAATTGAATGGCCTGGCCTTCTTCCAGTTAAATTGCTCTACACCGAAAGCATCTCCCAAAGCTTGTGTGTGTGTCTGTTAGAAGATCCGTCTGAGCTTTAGGTTCGTCAAGGGCCCGAACACCACTCGCGGTAGAAGACCGTTCGATCAACTAGCCTCAGCACAAACAATTGAGTCGATCGAGTCGATTGCCTCATGTCGGGTCAATCGAGGCCTGGCGGCCATTGGGCCATTGGGATGATCGACGACTCATGCCAAAGACTTCTGCTCGGACTTTGGAGCCAAGCATCCAAAGTGGCCCCTCTTTTGAACAAAAAGTGGGATTCCGAGCTATGACAAAGTCTTGAGAAGTGAAGCCTTCTCCAGTTTAACCACCAACATCCACCAAACTGCACCAGTAGCCGGGCCTCCAAACACAAAAGCTGCCTGGTCTGAGCACAGCTGCAACGAGCTCGCTCCGGTGCCCACACGCCGTAGCACGGAGTGTCCGCTGTCGACGTAGCGGCGGAAGGTCTCCAGGTCGCCTCGTGTCGTGCGCCATCGACTGGCACGTGGGAATCCTAATCGATTCCTGAAGGAAGGAAGGAAGGAAGGAAGGAAGACTGAAGGAACCCCGGAACAAACCTGCCCGTTTGTTGAGGAAATCATCTTTGCAAACCTTGGGAGTGCCAGGCAGTGCAATACTATGCAATACTAAGTGAATCCATTGTGGTTGCCACCCGTCTCTTCTGATCGGCCGCACATCCATGCCCTCGGGCGAAGCTTTTCTCCACGGCACCCTCCACATCAGTGATAAAGCCGATCTCCTCCACGTGCAGCCAGTGAAATCAGACTTACACCCCCTTTGAACGAGATATCCAGACGCACTTTGAAGAGGAAAAGGATCTTCGCGGGGGTTCATGTCCAATGGTTGGGGGGCCGAAATGATTCACTGGATGATGTCATAGCTGGGAGAATAGATTGCTTGGAATGTCATCTACCAGCTATCTGATGAGATGTGAGGAGCATGTCAGTTTCAGTTTAGAGTAGGTGAGAAGGAAATAACCACCTAATTTTGAAATGTACTGTATTGAAAAGGATTTTGGAAGGATGCCCCAATGTAATTGTGATTGTCTATGTTCAGAATACCACAAGACACCCTGAGAGACAATATGAGGATCCGATAATCATGGTTACTGTATGTGTCCCAATTCAGAACGTTGGTGGGGTGTTGTTTGGCGACTTTCTTTGTCATCCCTGCGGTGAGAACCCTCCCTGCCAGTTCCCTGTTAGCGGAGCGGAACACAATTCAAACTTTTGCAAGAAACATATGTTGGAAGGGATCGCAAGCTAAATGATCAACATGGGATAATTTCCCATGACCCTAATCTAGCACATGAGGAAAACCATTAGAAGGTTCATGTCCTCCAGGTCTCCTGGATCGTGGCTGCAGGCAGTACCAAGCACCGCAAGCTTCGCAGCCCAAAGGTGAGCGAGGCCGAAAGGCTACCTTAAGGCCGGCTTTCGCTTGGCCATCGACTGCAGCATCCGACCCGGTCATAGTGGACTTCACCCGGGGTCGGCGACGGGTGAAAATACAAAGACGACACACCCACCGAAAAGCGAGTGGAGCGTGGCGTGCGGGGGGTTGGGATCCACAGAAGCTCACTTCCAAGGGTTGGTTGCGGGGTCGCCATGCCGAGCCACCCAAGGCCAGGTGCCGCGTCCAGCGGGTGCGGCCGCCGCCATGGCCCAAGCGGAGGCACCGACGCATGTGGTCGCAAGCGGGTGTCTTTTTGGTCTTATATACACTCCGACGTGGTTGTAGGTACTTGGTTTTGATGGTTGAGGATGGCCGAGGCATACCTACATTCAAAAAATAAACCTACCGAAGTGGTAGAAGCATGGGAAATTGCCGCCAGGGGCTGACGACCATGGTCTTGAAAAGAAGGTCGATGCGCCCAACCAGACTCTAGACTCTGAACAATGCAACTCTTCAATTGCCAAATCATAGGGCCTCATTCACCGGAGATTGGCCATAAGGACCTTGAGCAAACCACTCTTTATTACGCTCACTTCCAACGCACTCTGTGCAAGGTTCTCCGCTCTCGCTCTCGCTCTCGCTCTCGCTCTCTCTCTCTCTCTCTCTTCCCTTCTAGCCGGTCTGCACATCTGGCAGATACGGTCTCTCTGATCAAGATCATGGCAACATTGTTTCGACAGCAACTCGGATTTGCAAGTCCGGATCTGCTCCGCCACGGCAACTGCAAACATGAGGTTTGTGGAGGAAGATGGTGTTCTGGTCTTCCCAGGCCTATGTTCAAGTGGGCGCGGTCATACTGAGACTGCAACGTGCTCCTTGGCTCTTTCAGGTTTCATGAGGTGAAAAATCCCAGTCGTCGGCTGCTCCAGGTGCATCCAACATAAACCCCCCCCTGTTGACCCATTCCCACCATTCGCAAGACATATCTCTCAATCAGGCCAACGGCCAACCGCCAGCAAAGATGGGCAACTGGCACCAAAGCCCTGCACAACCAAAAACTCATGACCTCCAATAAAACCTTCAAATCCACCATCCAGCCCTTCCCTTTCTGGCCGCCGGTTTCGTCAAAACGTGCCTCTTCCGATACCGCCGTGTTCTGAGGTTTGTAGGCCTCTCCAAAACCTGGCAGTGCAAGTGTAGCATCCTTGAATCCCATGGACCCTACGCGTGCCGAACCTTTTCCAGGGAGGATGTGAATGTGGCAAACAGCACGGAAAAATCTCAGGATCTATGGACCTTGGACAAGGCATTGTTCATACTATATAATATGGCACTGTCTGCGTCCATCTTCGCTGGCTGTTTCATACTCCTGGGTCTGACACTGCTCGGTCTAGGACAACAACTCATTGAGCCGCACGGTCATTGAGCCGCTTTGTCTTGGGAGGGCCGATTCTCTCCAACAGAAGTCCCCGATTTGGGCCGATTCTCCTCCCCCCATCGGGGGGCCGATTCTCTGATTCTGCGCCTTTGCCCAAGCGTTTCACCGTGGGGACCCGCTTCCATGCGCCCTCCTGACGTCATCGATCGGGTCACCTCAGTGACCTATTGTCCCCGGTTCTTTTGCTTGGTTTATTGAGGAATGTATCTTCAATCGTTCAACAATCCATACTCACTAGAAGTTGTGCACCAATTGTGTGGTTCGTTGGCCCAATTTGGTGGATTGATTGGCTTCAGCGAGTCCAAAGGCTGCACTACAATGGAAAGAACATGCTGGAACATCCCTTGTCAATACTCAGGACCAAAAGAGGCGGCCAGCTGCCATGTTCTGAGACTGTCCGTCTGTTCGCCAAGTGTCACGGAGGGAGGATTTTACATCAAGTCATCTAGCACCTCAACATGAGAGGACTCCCTAAGCCACAAAACGAAGAAAATCCATGTCGGTGAGGTATGAGCGCAGGGCCCTCCTCGAGCTTTTGCCGTGGCCAACTGCCTTGGAACTCCTTGAGGGCTGCCCCCACCTGCAAACGGGGCAGACCAATGGCAAGGCGGAGGGTTTGCTCGGGCAGGCTGTAAAGATCCAAGAGTCACATGATGTCTGTTGTTGTCTCCTTCTTTTAGATGAGAAACTTTGGTGAGCCATGTAGCATGCCTCTTGTTGCCCATAGTCAGTGCCATATCAAGACCTGCAAACCCTAGGCTCTAGACTCTAGACCCATCACCCAGGGCAGTGCTCACGTCTCCAAATACATCACATCGACTTGTCAAAGGATCAAAACCACCCCAGGCTTAAGAGGAGAATGTTCCTGGTGGGCCAATCTATTCGTTGCTCAGATGAGGGAGGGCGGACTTTTGGCGGTAGCAGGTGAGACAAATAAAAAAGTATCCTTGCTCCGAACAGGGGGACTCTCACTGGTCATAGGACCTCATCGACCTCCCCAAATGCCCACGTCACAGTGCTTCTTGCTCAACCCGCTCAACTTGCAGAAAACCCCCACGTCACGGTCTCCAAGCAACTTTTAGGGGGATCAATGAACATCACTGAGCGACACTCATCTTCACCTGTGGGTCGTAGTGCGCCCAGAAGGGTGAGCAGGCTCTGTACTCCAAAACATAGTCCCTGCGGTCCTGCGGTTGAAACGGTCAAAAAATGAAAAGTATTGGCCTATATTGGCCTACTGGGGCCTACTGCCTTCCAACATCCTTAGTGATCTGTGTGCAGCCCTGGTCAGATGTTTTTTCTATCAACTTCAATCCGTCTTGACAAAATGTCTAACCATGGACGCGAAGAGGTGTTTCCGAGGATTCAGAGTGTCCATTCCCCTGCTCACCTGCCACACAGGGCCCCTAGGTTGAGGATGGTTTTGAGCAATTCCCCCAAAAGAACCCACGCGGGTGTGACACCTGTGTCGTTCGAGGTCAATCATGTGTCGTTCGGCCTCCATCTGTGAATGTCCCTGCACCTCAAGTGACTCAAGTGCACCATAAAAGAGGTGAAGCCTACGGTTCTGGATAGTTTGAGGGGATTCCTTTTTGCGGCCTTTTTGCACATCCCCTTTACCCTTTGGAATGAATACATCATACATCGCTGTTGCTTTCTGACCACATCATAAACAAGAAACTGGGGACCTGGAAACCGTTTGAGAGCATGGTTCACTGGATGCCATGGTTGGTCCTGGCTTGTCTGAAGCAAGGCACAGAAGGAGACTCTTTAGTTAAGCTCGCTTGTGTATGCTGATATGTAAGTTTCTGCATGCCTACAATTACAGTGTCCATCCCCTCTCTCAGCCGCAGAATACAGCACTGAACTGGCCATCACAAACTTATTGGTGAAAAGCATGTATTAAACAAAAAAAACAGACCCATGTCCCCAATCCATCAGCGCTAAGGTTCACCATCCCTGATCTTGGTGTGTCTTCGAATGGGGAACCCTGCCCAACCTGTTGATTTCTGCGTCCCCCCATGGCACCAGCCATGTGTCGGCCAAAATTTCGATGCGGTGCAACCTCGATGCTCAGCAGGATGGCACGCATGTTGGGTTGGAAGCTCGCATCCTGCGTGCGTCGTCCTCAACAGTGACTCTAGTGACCCACCCAGGCTGAAACAGCTTCACCGGCACGAAACACGGTCGACTCGCTTTCCCCGGGAAAGCCAGAAAGCAGACCCAAGGCAGACCCGGTCATGAGACACCGGATGACACCGGGACCGTCTGATTCGTCACGACCTTTCCAGGCTGTTCCAGAGGCGGACCACGAGCCAAGGTGAAACACACATCACGACAGTACAGACTACGGGAGCAGCAACTCGACTACAGTGGTTAAATCATGCTAAATCCTTCAAAACAGCCCTCAAATCATGGCAGTGCCTAGGTGATGTGCTTTTATATCTGGGTCAATTTCAAAATGAGTCAGCGACCCCACAGCACAATTGCCTCAAACCCGACCGACCGGATCATACCGGACTCAAAGATAACCCATCTTGGGTGTCCGACTCGCCGGTCAAGAAGTCTTAATCGGACCTTTTCATTTAGGCGGTATGACCCAATTTGGACTCGGCTCTTTCAACAAGTTTTGTCTGAGTCTCGAATTCAACTGTGTGCGTTGACAATCGCGGGTGTCCAATGGGGAAATCCATGGCCCATGGCCCTGTCAGCCATGGCCTCTCCCAGGTCGTGCGCGAAATCATTCCAGCCCACCTGAAGCAACGCTCGCAGCTGCGGTGCTCGGAGCTTCAGTTTTCTCGGAGCTGCCGTGGGGAACGAAAAGCAAAACTGCGGAGGTCGTCTGATTGATGTGAACATCTGATTGAATGGGGGGGGCAATGGAAGATGTTTCATGAGGAATCTGTGCAGAGTTGTTCCTTCAGTTTGTTGAAAGAAGAATTTCTGCATCAAAAAGTATGCCTTTTTAGCTCTTTGACCCTGGCCACATCTGACACTTTCCTCGCACGAAATCCCATGCTGGTAAGTAGTGACTCTAGCCAGCCGAGGGGGCCAACGTCCTACTTGCACCACTGGTCACGACTGGTCACGAATCAGCAGTTGTTTGTCCACACCGAAATCCAGCAGTTTCATCCCAGAATTGCTGATGGCTGCTCGATGAGTGACTGAACTCCCTGCCACAGGGCTCAACGACGAATAAATGGATTCATGGTCGAACCAGGATGGTGATTGTCGCTAGCTCCACGCTGCAAGGTAGCACCATGTAGTACCCATCTCTGTGGTCGAAATGAACAGTTTGGGCTTCACTTCTGCCAAAAGCAAGACAAAGAAGGTTCGCCAAAGACTCACAACATACTTTGAAAATCGGACTCATTGCGTTGATGTTTAAAAGAAATGAACGCGGAACTCACCTCTCTCCCCATATCTGCATGGGATCTGCACAAACGTAGAACCAAATGAACAAAACCATCGGTCCTTTATGGCCCCCCTCCGTCGGATTTGATCGGTCGTGGTCGTTCCGACGGTCGCACCTGTCGTGGAGGCGTTGGAGTGTTGGGCCCTCCAGGTGTCTCCACCTCGCAACATGGAGCACCATGGCGATCCCGCTAGATGCCCCCCAGACCACCCACCATTGATGAATTCGGGTGGACACCCCAGCTCCTGATTGATTATATAAGGTCGGGTATCCCCCAAGATTGGCCCAAAAAGACCATAGTCTACCTTATTATTCCGGGCGTTGCGCATGAAACTTGGAGGAATCTTCAGCCGTTTAGGGCCATTTAGCCAACAGGACGATCGGGTGGAGAAAGGGAACGTCGATCAAACACATGTGCAACAACATGTGGCAGCAGGTGTCCATTTGTTAATTGGAACATTCAGGTGCGTACTGCCCACAAGCATGGGTTCTGACTTCTAAAGCTCAAAGAAGTCCTTGCTGGTAGGGTGGAAAAGGCATGAACAGCAACAACATGTCTGGAAGGTCATTGAATCAATCCTCACTCACTGCGTGGCTGCATCTTTCTAAAATGTCCTAAAATGTGTCCCCTCCGTCTTACTAGGACGCCACAGCTTAGGACTCAACCGACCACTCCCGTTTCCGACCACAGATGCCTGCGTGGTGAGTTTGGGGCCCACCAGCAAGCCCAAGCCGCCTGACTTGCCCTGAGAGGTGGAAAGGCAGTCTGAGAGATCGGGGGTCCTCCGCACTGGCATCACCAATGTCTTAGGAATGGAAACCGGCTTTTCTTTGTGTCGGCTTTGCCGGTTTCGGATGTCTTTTCCATGCAAGCTTTGCTAGACCGAACCAACACATGCAAAAGAAAACAAGAGTCTACCTTCACCCTAGTTGATTGTTTCTTCCGTTTTGTTGTTATTCTCAAGAGATGTACCAATCAATATATATATACATATATAATTATGAAGTCAGTCGCTGCAACAGTGCTGCGTAGATCAACAGGCAGCTCTGTCAGATTCGAAGATGTGTTGGCAGTTTTCAAGACCAGTTGCAAACTCCACTCTTGTCCAACGAAGAACCGAACTGATGCCCCTTTGGCATAGCCCGCTCCACTCTCGACGAGGCCTACAATGTTGAAACCCTGCAGTTCTCTGAAAATAAATGAACTAGCAGTTGTCTTCTCTAAGAAGAAACTCCTTCTTGGCATCATTTTGCTGGAAACATTGGGCTACTCAGACTCCTTGTTGGCACGTTAAACAGGGTGTTCAATGTTAAGCCGTGTTTGGCACATTGGGCCCCTGGCTTCGAGCTGGCTCCGTGGGTAGAGGCCTTCGGCGTCAAACAGAATGATGGCCGCAGCATCAATCACTGGCCGCACCCAGTCTGCAGGGTCTACAGAAAGCTTGTCTGAACATGCTGCCATGCTTGGCCCTTATGCCGCAACGGTCAAGGAGACTTTGGAGCAGTGGACATACCACTCTATATCAGCTGAAGGACGGTTAACTACAGCTGCTGGGCTGCAAATGGCCCGAGTTACGCTCGTCACCGTGACATCCTGTGAAGCATCCCGTCGCTTACCGATGTCTTGGCCTGCCCCTGCCGGGTAGCGGGCAGAGACCTGGAGAGGACGAGACCGGAGCAAGTTCGAATAGCATCAAACAACTGCTAGGCGTGGTCAAGCTAGCAACCTCAACGCAGGATGCAATGCAACAGAAAGTAAGAAAACACACATCTCCAACAAGAATGTTCCCATTCATAATCCAGAACTCCAAGCTGATGGAAGCACCTTTCACGTGGTCGCAACTACCAGTCACTTCGTTTCTTGTCGCTGGACATGCGCTGTGCCATCCGGACAAAGGCTGAGCACCCGAGCCGAGACCAGGTAACTGGTCCAGGGCAAGAGACCTGACACCTCTACCTGACAGGCCAGGTGTCACTGGAAGGGCGCACTCGCCTCTTGTTTAGGCCGTGAGTCTAGTAGCCACTCTTCTAGTTACCGCCATGGCTGATATGGTTACTAGTAGATACTATGTCATAGAAAGTATAGGTGTCAAGTGTCAAGGTTGTAGGCTGACGGAGTGGTGATTGGGTGGTCTGCTTTCGGGCGAAGGTCTTGCATTCAAGCTGGGACGATGTTCAGGACTTCAAATCGGGCCCCAATAGAAGCTTGTTCATTTCCACATGGAAACTCCGTTTTCTACACCTGTCCTGTTTCCTGCTGTTTACCGGTCTGTTTGGGGTTCCACATGGTTGCATCGCTTAGTCTTACATGATGATCTGCAGAGCAACCAAGACAAACTAACCAAATCACCCAAACCACAACTAGTGTGAGCAAAAGCAAATAAAGCTACCTAGCAGCCTGGTACTTCCGATGCAAGCCACCAACCACAGGCTGGTGCTCCCAAACCAAAAGTTTCCCAAAGCAAAGCACCCGCTCAACAGCAGCCCCGACCTGCAGTTTGGTGTCTTTTTCGTCGGCCCCCTCTAGGTCCCGGATGTCCTGTGGCAGAAGCAGCGAAGATCGAACTGGACTGGAATCACGAATGATGGGGTTCAAACCACCAACATATGTTCAGTTGTATCGGAGATCGCGCTTCTGGTCCTGCAGAACTTTTTGATAGCCAAAGCCAAAGCCACAATTATATATACAGTATGAATTGTCCACTGGGCTTTGTGGCCTAAATAGTACTGGCTCAACTTCTTATCGTTTTGACTGACCGGTCAGTCAAAGTGCAGTAGATCAGGAGATACCTTTTAGCTTTTTCTTCCATTTTCGATGTTCCATCGAATAGCAGCTAGAGAAGTCCAAAGGATTCTCCAGGACTGCTCTCCTTGGGACCTGAAACCGGTCTCGGCGTCTCCTGAAAGGCACTGACGAGTCGGCCCAGGCCGGACATCTCTTTGGGATCCAAGAGCCGCTGGAACTGCCGAACGGCGGGACCGAACGGGCGGAGCGGAACGGGGCGGGGAGGCAGTTGGGGGCATTGACTGATCCCATGGTCCACCGATCCATGTCTTGCTTCATGCTATTTCGTGCTCATTCGAAAGAACAGCACCCGACTCGACCGGTCTCTTTGAAGGTCGCAGCTGAGAGACCTGTGGTTGCTGCTATGGATCAAACCGAGTGAGATGGGACAAAAGAAGGAAAAGGGGAGCTGGCGGGCGTGAAAAGCCGAATGGCAAACTTTCCCTTGGAGTTAGCCGGTTAGCATCGGTTGTGCAGTTGTGCAATGTTGAGAACAATGGGTTCATAAGTTCATTCAAATCAAGCCAAAATGGTGCTTCTCCTATCACGTCTTGGTGGAGTGCTAGGGCTTGCGCTTCTCTCACTATCAAGGTGAAATGCTTGAACCATAAATTCAGTTGGGACCTACATCGGTCTGCCCGAGAATGGCAAGGTTCAAAAGCCCAGAAATGTGTCATTTGTGAATGTACTCTCTACTCTCAAGAAGAGCGACTTCTCTCAGCGGGTAGATTTCCAGCTTAACCACTTCAAACCTGACTCCATGCCTCGTCAAGTCCACCATCCTCCGTGCCTGTGGTGTGACCACGAGCTGGCCATCGTGCTTCCGGGGCCTAGGAAGCACGGCAGAAAATCCAAAAGGCGGCTTCATCCATCGTCCCATGTCACACCAAGACAGAGGTCAAAATATGAGTATCCGTATGTACCATAGCAAAGCAAATTGAAATACTCTATACAACCTCATCCCCACCAGATGTTGGTTTCTCGAAGCCCATCTTTCTTCTTGATCTGCAGGTCGAGGCTGTCACCACATTCTCCCCCCTTTCTGGTGATTTGTATAAGAGGCCGCAGGCCCTCTTCTTCTCGTCGTTGTTTGTGTCCCAACGCATCGTTTCACAGCGCTGTGGCCCTCGCTCGTGCTGAAAGCAAATCACCGTCTCAGCAGGTGAGCTGGAGCCCTAAGACGACGGAAGGGGCGGCAACAGCGGCACCCTTCGGCTTTGGATTCCGCTATCCCAAGGACCCTGAAAAGAGGTGTCTGTGGCCGTACAACTAGTGCTGACTTGCTGGAACTTGCTTTCACACATGAAAACATGCTTGATTGAAGTGTTTGAAGAAAAAGCAAACGTCTTTGATGGGCTTCATGACCTTGGCTGTCATTTTGGCTCAGGTTCTGATGTTTGCACCACTTGCAGTGTGGCGCAAGAGAACTTCCCAAGGTTGGTGCCAAAGAAAGAAACTTATTGCCTATTTGATGCGCTTTGATGCCTTTATTACAAGCTCGTTGATGATGAAGGTTGGTAGGAACCTGCAACAACCCATGGCGGTTCCTTGTGCTAGTGGACACAACCAAACATCTGTTGTCTCAAGGCGTGTTGGAATTTGTGTCCTTCCGAACGTGGAAATTGTTGCCAAATCGACGTGTGAGACGATCGATCGTTTGGTCACAACGACCCAATACAGTGAGAACTGGAAATCACCAGGCACAGCCAAGGATGTGTGCGTTTGAGTCCTTCATCTTCGCAAACTTTGCCAGTTGCACTTCCATGCAGCGCTCAATTTTTGCCCACCTAAGACAATTCTCATATCACAAGCTACCATGGCAGGCCCCGGGGGTTCCCGGAGTTGGTCCATCAAAGAAACTCAACTTCAAATCGCTGAGTCTTTAGTCAAGTCCATCGCTCCGCGCCGGCTCCAAATATGTATGGGAAAGCTCCAGCTCTACTTGATAGAATGCATTGGCAGTACATGTGCAATCTTGCAAAAAGCTTCTGCTGGGGGTTCCTCTACCAACAAGTATGCCACCTATAATGTGGTACAGTAAATTGTCTTAGCTCTAGCTCTAAGTGCTACCACCTGGCCTGCTTTTGGAATCCCAATTTGTTGTGTTCCAATTGACTCTCGGGGTCAGTTGAGGCACGAAGAAATTGAGAAATGGTTTCTCCCTCTATTGGAAACGAATGAGTCCAGAAAATATACTAGGAGGAAGGTCTTTGCATTGAGGGCATCCTTTTGCCAAATAGGGTCATCAGTCATCAGTATATAAACCCTTTCGAACCCCTCCAAGCAGCTCAAAGCTCGCCCCTGGGTGTCCCCGGCAGAGGTTCCATCCTCACCCAGAAGGGGTTCCGCTTGGATCACATACTCCAAGCCTTGGTGCATCGAGGTCTTCGGGTTGACCCTGCACCCGAGTCCACCAAACGGAGGACTACGGTGGTGCCGCACCTTCCCCCCAAAAAGGGAAGTTCCACAGAGAAAAGGATGACCAACAGAAGAATAAGGGTTGAGTTGGCCATCATTGAAATCCTCTTGCAATTGTATGAAAAAACGAGTCTTCTTCGTTCGATCTCTATGGTCATGATCGATCTCCAAGCCGGGCAGCTGGTCACCCCCGGGGCGCGGTCGAAGGGCGCCCAGCCTCGGGACACGATACGAAACGTGCAGCCTGAGGCCGTTGGTTTGGATCGTGACATGGTCGTTGCCACTCTCTGAGCAGCTTCCTAAAGGAAGCTGAACAAGTCGGCATCATCACCGGGCCGACCTTTTGAACCTCATCGCCGGTGGCCACCTTTTTTGTTGGAAAATGAAGACAAGTTGAAGACGAGGGTTGAGGTAGCTTGAAAATGGGAAAATGACCTCCCTTCACTAACTGGCTTTGCTCTTGCTGTGGAGTGACCGTGCTTTCCAGGTCCTTCTATCTTTGGAATTTACAGGCTGCTGGTCAAACACGGTCAATCTGCTCAACCGTGCTCTCAACAGTCCCGATCCAAGTCCAAATCCGGATAGTTCAGGGTCTCAGAGCCTCTTCAGCTTCATGGCACTGGTTGAACTGATGAATCCATTGCCCCCTCAGCCTTTATATTTCGTTATATTAAGATCAAAAATGGCAGGGCCTACACTTTTCTTGAGGTAGTCCTCATGTCACAGCAGGGTGTATATGACCTAGCGGCCCAACACGGAAATAGGCATAGTATGGCATAGGTTGGGTGACCCAGCTTGTTTTTGTATAATGTACATATGGAACTCTAGAATGGCTTGGATATTCTGTCCACTTCTGTGACATCTGTGTCTGTGAAAAAGTGTGACGGTAATGACCCATAAAGCTACCCAATGTGGTGGGCGTGAGTTTGGCTTATCGCACCAATTCCATGCAGTGGCAAGCTCGATATCTGGGCGCTTCATCCAAAAGCCTCCGTCTTGTTGCAGGCATTGATGCTGGCAGTGCCACGACAAGAAAGCAGATGAGGGCTTGCATTGGGTCGAAAAGCTCCAAGGAAAGCACTCCCAGTGCAGAAAAGAGCACTGGTGAGCGTCAAAGAAAAAATGCAGACTGGCAGTTTGCTGGGGGGGGGG